TGACCGACACAGAGCATTCTGCTTTGTTTCAGGGACACAGACCAACGCAAATCGTGGCCACCAACCTTGCATCTGCTTGGGAAATGGGCCCTCAGGGTTCAGGTTCACAGGGAGTCAACTACTCGGTGTTCGTGGCCTCTGGCCGACTTAGTTACCCATATTGTCTCAGGGGGTCCCAAAACGGTGCAAGAGGACCCCTGGCTGATATTTCAGGTGACGACCATACTGGTCGCGATTCTTTATGTGACCCACAGCCAGTCTTTCAGGCCCTTATACCCTTCAACCGGTACATTGATCATCGATTCCGGTGGGCCGCCCGGGCCGCTCTTCGGGCCTCATGGAACACTGCCCTTGGCCGGCCCGGGACCCCTCGCAAGCACAGGCCTCTCTGTTAGACGATGTGGCCCTCAACAGATACAGGAGCCCCGAGCAGTGTGAATCAATGACCTGGGCTTTGTAGCTGATTTGGAAGTGGGCCCTCAGACCTACATCGACTGCACGGTTCTAGTGGTGCCTGCCCGACACATAGACCCATGTCGACCTGATCGGCGCAGAGAACCCTCTGAATGTCAGTCGAGGGTCCGTCCCTGCAGGCCGGGACCCTGAATAAGATTTCCACCAGCCACCCGCGCAGTTATACCCTCCAATCGAGTTCTTGATCGTCGGACCCGGTGGGCCCTCCAGGCTCTTAGGGTCTCCTCGAACACTTCCCCCTGGCCGACCTGAGGTCCCTTGCCAGCACAGGGCCCCGTTAGGCGCTGTGGGGTCCCGACCGAAGTAAATCGCTGCAGGCCAGATCCCCTGAATACGACCTCCGGCCGGTCTTTGTGACCCATCGGGCCCTTAAATCGGGCCCTTAATCGTAGGTCCTGCAGGGCTCTTCGGACCCCTCGGAACCCAAGGGGGGCATGTGCCCCCTGAGCCACCTCTACCTGTGGTACTGAGGAGGGGGGGGGGGGGGGCAGCAAGTTCCATGGCACCGCAATGAAGCGTAGCCTCTCGCTTGACGAAATCCTGGATACGCCCCTGGATGTACGCATCTAGGCGCGCGCTCTCAGGTGCCAACCATGAAACGTTCGGCATTTCGCATTTAAGTGTTTTTTGGGGGGATTCATGTCAGATTTTGGCAACCAGGGATATAGAAATATAATGTCAGTTGAATGGTTTAGATGACGTTCGCTTTCTACAGATCACTAGGCCAGTTCAACTCTGTTCGAACAAACAGGTAATAAAACACGAAACGAAATTTTCCCGACGGGTCTATGACAAGCACCTTCTGTGCCTCACACTGCTACAATACGCCCCCCCCCCCCCCAATCCGGGGTGAGGCTGACCTCTTTTGACCGGATGCCAGCCAACGTTTCCTTTTTCGTCGGGCCCAAGCGGCCGGCCCTTCTGGGCACCATGCCCGGTGCGGCTGGATTACGATTCCGTCACCTTTCTCTCACCTTCGTGGCGATCCACGTCAGGTCATGCCCAATAATCAGACTGGTGCTAATCTTAGCGCATGCGAGGATAGAAAAACGTGTGTAACGCCCCAACCAGCCAGGACATTGAACAACATGGGGTAGTGTATCTATCATTTCTTGGTTTAGGATCCCTCTGTGCAGGAAACTTGTGATTTAAGCCATTTAATCCGGTTCTTAACGTGAGTGTTCCACATTTGCATGGGGCTCTGAACTGAAGCAGCCACTGTTAAGATCACTGGGTGCTGTTCACAGCCCTGCCCTTCTTAAGGCCGAAACTTTTCTAGTTTCTGAGCTACGCGCCAGCAATAAAGGTCAAGGGAAATATAATTGTCGAGTCATTCATATCTGGCGTTCACGAGCACGATTTCCAAATAAAATGATAGTCATTTGGCTCTCAATAAATGTTGTGCAAGATACGATGACTAAATCAAACAATAGCGCATTGAGTAGTATATTTACTAAATAGAAGAATTGTGTTGTGTAGCGCAGCATTCTCAACTCAAAAGTATGCCAATAGTTATAAATGAGCTTCTTTCATGTTATCTCATGTTCTCTTCAATATCTTGAAATGAGGGTGTTCCCTTTAAAGTAATGGGACCTGCCGTAATATCGCGTTTTGGTTAGATATGCAGGAAGCTGCTTCTTAAGTATGCTCCTGACGCATCTAGTACCCACCTTTCTGCTTGGCGGAAGTTTTCTCAGTAGGCTGTAGTAGCTATAGATTTTGTTCTTGTTCTAGCGCTGGTCCCAATGGGAGTCGAATACCAGCTGCGACGAGTTTCTCAAAGTAAGCAAAGAAACACGGCAGTATAACTGTGCACTGTGGGAACTACGAAGCACCGCCGCTGCTTAAGGCCGCCGCCGTAAGTGTTGTGTATGCATTGGGATATTGATTAATAAATTATTGTTGTTTATTAATCGTGAACTAGATTTGTGCGTCTCGTTAGTTTGGTATCGACCACATGGTCAGGCACAACGCCGCCCATCATAGCATGCTTCTAAAACTTTCGTCTAGTAGAATGTGCATCTTCTGTTTATCTTCAGACATCATCATTTTAGCATGCTTTGAGAATTTTAGTTCTGACAAATATACTTGTGAGAAAACGTGCCGAAGATGCACCCACGCATTTCACTAGAGTCCTAGGGCTTTCTGCTTTGAAAAAGTGCCTTCCAGTGGTCCTTCAAAAGAAGCAGTGCCGAAGTGGTGTAGTTTTGCAAAATGAGTTGGAGAAACAGTGAAAAATTACGAAACATTCTTCCAAAATACGCCAGCAAACGGATTTTTCCCGGACTTAGCCCACTTTCTTCCCCAAGGAGGGGGTGGGGCTGGAACTGAAATATGGGGGGGGGGCAGCATCCCAGGGGAGTAGGAAATAACACTCCTGCAGTGACCCTTGCGCCTAAATTGTTGTGGCAGGCATGGAGGTAACCACACCTCTGGGATTTTGAGGGACCAGTCATGGTTACGGGGGGAGTTTAGAGAATATAACGTTTTCATGTTAGATTGTCAGCGCCAGATTCCAGGCTGCCCCAGCCTGAAATCTGGCGCTGACAATCTAACATGAAAATGTGATTTTAATGTGAAGACATGAAAAACATCCCCTTTTTACGGGAAAAAACTAGGCGAAGGGGGAAGTGGTGGAAGATTTAAGTACAAAAGTGGTAGCATTTTCGAGTTCGGTGACCTTCAGAATTGAAAAATGCTATTTTGAAGCATTGTAAATATTTTTTTGTGTGCCAAAAGGCTTCACATCTATTCTAGCGATCTCTCTAGTGCTTAAAATTACCATACACGGACAAAGCGTCGGAGTAGGAGACCTATACTCTGAACAGGATGTAGACAAATGTTATTTGAGGTGAAATTGCACATCATGAGGGTTACATTCAACAGCCTTTCCCAAGAGCTGGCACTGCCGGCACGACAGCGCTGCCTCATGCGCAGCGACGTGCGACACGGGCCAACTTTCAGACAGGGTGAGTTGCTAATTGGTGCGAACGCTACATCATTGTATGTCTATGCGTGCTTACATTTCATAAAAGAGCGGGATTGCAATGCATTGGTATGACCTATGTCCGCTTGTTCCCGAAGGCATGTGGCTTGACTTGCCCATCCCCTTTCTAGTATCATCTGCATGACACTCACACAGGTCATCAGCTCGTCAGTCACACAAGGCGCCTGCCTAATACCGAGGCTGGAGCTCTATCAATGTGGCTTATCATTAAAACAGCCGCCATAAAGCAGCTGGGCTAGTGCGTAAGGCACCTGTAGGATTATTGGCGGCAGAGCTGCACGCGTCACGACCAGTTGATTTCTTAGGCTTTTAGGTATCCATGGATTGCATTGCCGCAGAGTGGCATCATTGAGCGATGCTTCTAAAACAAAAAGACGCGTTTTGAACGCAAAGAGCATCAGGTTAGCTATGGCTTCTTTCCTTATAGATCTTGTCTGTAACCGATTTGAGCACCTGCAGCGTATTTCGTCGCTTCACAGAAAAAGGACAGAGAGGTGAAACACACAAAAAGGGAAGTAATAGCTTATATTGCGCGGGGCATAATCATCACGATACCGTCGATTCTAAACACGCAGTGATAAGTGACACCGTTCTCAAAACCTGCAGTCATCTGAACACTGGCCCAATATGGGCACTGTGGCGGTCCTGTCAGCTTCGGCGGCCAACTTCAGTGGCCCCGGGTCGCAGTCCTAACACTACGCTGCTCTGCCCAAGCCTGCCTCTCTACCACATGAGCACGGCGGCATGCCATGGCTTGGTTCAGCACCACGTCACTGGGTCAGCAGCCAGCTGCTGGCCCGAAAAAGACGATAAGGGACTCCGAACCGGGTCGGTGCGCGGCGGCATCTGAGGCACTGCTCGGGAACAGCAGGCCGCGCGAAATTAGGTCCTCCCGAGGTTAAATAAATAAAAGGGGCAATAAATTAGGTGCCGCATGCACTGGACCCCTCGAGCATGTCCACACAAATGGGAGCAATGTGTTTAGAGGTTATACATTTGCAATGGTACACTGTTCTGAGAAGGTTATACGCGTTACACATACGCCTCATTGAGAAACTCACTAGGAAGCAACGCACGTAGCATGCTAGAACGACCTCACACACCACATGGAATGGCACAGCTACACAACAGCAGGTGTTCGCGCACAGTCGCGGGTCACACGATCTCTCACGCCAGCCATAGCACCAGAACATTGCCATCTTCCCAGCAGAGTGGCACGGTGGGCGCCTAAACTATAAAACGGTCCCGATATCACGTCAGCGCTGAGTAAACGCAGCATCAGCAGCCCGCCCTGTGCTCGCTGACAGGAGAGTCGGGCTTGAACGGTCTGAAGAAGCTGCTCTGCTCGGAGGAGACGGCCGGCGAGAGGGCGGCGGCGGCTGCTGCTGCGGCGGCGGCGCTGACTGCTGGCGGCAGCGGCGCCGGCGGCGGCGGCGGCGGCCGGCAGCCGTCCAGCGACGGCAGCAGGAAGCCGGCCGCCGCCAGGCTCGGCTGCGGTCGCACCGGCAGCGGCGCGTACGGTGAGAAGCGACACTTGGCAGAGCCGGCCAGCGGGCTGTAGTAGGGCAGCGGCGGCGCCGCCAGGCCGGCCACGCCGCCGTACGGGTACGTGCCGGAGGCGACGGCCGCCTGCAGGATCATGGCGGCCAGCGCCGGGTCGGTGAAGCGCGGGTCGAGTGGCCAGGCCGTCATCTGCTGCCGCTTGTGCTTCATGCGCCGGTTCTGGAACCACACCTGGCGGCACGCAGAATATCCGTCAAAATCGACCCACTTAAATCATGCTACCAATTCTTGAGAGATGGATAGTGCAGGTGATATGGCCGTATATTTCCAATTTACGGACTGTTCCGATTTTAATTAAGCGTAATGAGATGTTTTTAGGCACCAGGCGACTTCCGTTGTGAGCAGTTGTATGGAACTGTAGAACATACCTGTGGAAGGGAAGCGGAAAAGTGTTCATGGCAAGTTCAAAAATGAGTCTGGAAAAGTGCATGAAAGCAAAACATATCATGACAACGTGAAGAGCTGACTAACACGGATGATGCCACGGCAATTGATCAGGCGAGTAAACAAGGTGCGAATGGGGCAACTCCCCGTCCCCACACTTTCCCCAATTCTTCGTGGTCGGCCAAGTCTCCCGATGTTCCCTGTTCTTCCGTTCCACGAGGGGTCTCCGACCTCCACCAATAAAGTATCCAGGAAGCTTGCTGCAGAGCATCAACAGTACGCAAATGACGAGTATCGCAGTGACGTCACTGCCGTCTAGCCGCGAAAATGCAAATGTAAACAAACTCGATAAACGTTACAAGCTCAGATTTAAGCAGAGTGGATAAGTGTCAAATTGTAACGACTTTGGCGCAGTTTTCATTCTGTTCAAATATTACATGAATGGATCTAATTTTGAGTTGGGCCACCACCCGCGTTGTTTATTCACACATATCTTACACTTGACCTTATATGTACGAATGATTTTGGATGTGTCAACTACTGCAGTGCATTTCGTATGCAAACCCCTGGGGTCGTAGTAAATTAATTTCGTTGGCTCTTTACCGAACATGAAATTTTGCAGTATATGACGTTTGACTTGATTTCGCGACTCAATAGCAACGCTGTAATAGACTGATAAGTGTATTCATAATTATCGCTGACCACATGTTAGTCTGCAATGATTCGTCTTCCAATTTTCGTAGGCAAAAATGAGCATTCGTTGGTAGCGTCCTGTTATGCCACGTTAGTGATGCAGCAGTGACGACGTTCCTGTTCATGAAAGGCTGACTGCCTGTCGATGTATGGTAGTTGAGATATCGTGCCTGAGATCCCTTTTGGGTGCGCACTGCTTCATTTCGTTTTCGATATGGTTCTGGGCCTTTTAATGGAGGTGCGGTGCTCTCTGGCGCGTGAAAATTGAGCTCCCTCGCTTTTAGGGGTAAACAGTCGATCCCACCGCAGCCTTACCAGACACACTCAGAGCTACGGCCGCTGAAAAACTCTGCTGCCATCTAGGATTTGCTTTTGCTTACACGCTGGCCAATGTCTGATGACTCAGGCAATAGAGGACACAGGGTTGGCGCCTCGGATCCCAAAAAAACGCGTGTCATTTTTTGTCCAGCGAAACTAGGGCGGCGCGCTGACCAGTGGTGTGGCCAGAAATCGAATGGGTCGCATTCCCCGATTCTGTAACGACGTTAGATGACAACGATAACATTTTTTTTAGCTCCTGGTCTTGAGCTAAGTTCGGGGATTATCTTGGTATTCTTTCTCCTTTTATTTAAAGCCGTTCTGTACTATTATTCACAACACCACCAGGTTGCGTTACATCTGGTGTGAAGACGCTAAAACTGCCGTAGAGTGGTCAGACCAAGGCTATTAATGAATGAAATGTATTCGATCTATGGAATCAATTCAGTCTAAAATTATGCATGCGGAAATGCCAGAACATAAAACAGCTAAAAATGACTACGAATAACAAGTGGCTCGTCCAATCAACGGTTCAACCATATCATGCTCGCCTTTTGAACAAAACAAGTTTATCACTGTATCATTTTTTTTATTCATACTGTTCTGCCATGATCCCTTACCAGTACACAACAGCGGGGGATAAATGGCTTTTGTGAGAGGGTCGATTTGGAAACCTCGCTAGGTTAGCAAACACTGAGGTTGGATGAATCACGAATTTGATGTCGGTGGGCATGGGGCCCACTGCCGCGCCTCAAGCGAAACATGCGACGCTTATAGCAGCACCTAGCGCCGTCCAGACGAAGGTCGTCTGCCGCGGACGTCAGTGGCCGGAGGTTTTCGACCCAATGAGAGGAAACGTCGCTGAATATTCGGGGATCAGAGCCCGCTCTGCTCAACTTGATTAACATCAAGTTTGCGCGTACTGGACTGTTTGGAGCTGCTCAAGGCCTTGACCTGCTTGAACTTTTGTTACATGTGCTCTCAGTTCCAGTCTGAAAGGAAGCAGCGGTGCAGTGGGAACAGTGAACAATGAGCCCGGCACTTGCCGATCAAGCGGTCTTGAGAGGAAGATGCCGGATTCGTAATCGAGCGGCACGGGCCAACAAGCTGCCGGTGAACCGTGTTGTAGCTCCGTGAAGACGTAAATCCCTAAGCCCTATCTAGTAAGAAGGCCAGGGGCAAGGCTATCCCACAAATGGTCCGTTTTTAATAACATCGCGCAGGCTTTTACTGAGGCTTTATCATTCCGGCTAATGCTCCAGTGCTGACATCCACGAATTCGGATAGAAGCCCGTTTGTTGGCGAATTTTGATGGTGAGCTCCGTCATTTTTCAGTATTCAGCCTCCTTCCCCACTCATTTTGGAACCCTACGCTTCGTCATATATGCCCTTTACTCCAATGTGGCTGCAGTCTAGTTCCAATCTAGATACTGCTGCCGTGTGTGTGTGTGTGTGTGTGTGTGTGTGTGTGTGTGGGTGTGTGTGTGTGTGTGTGTGTGTGTGCATGGGGCAGGAGTGTTGCAGCAGGGCTAGATGGTTTTAGTAAATGCACAGAGTACCTATTCCTGTATGTGCGTACATCTCTCAGTTCATTGGCATAACCTGGAGAAATCTGCTGATGACCTCATCAGGCGGGGCGGATCTGTCACTCGGCCCTGCGTTCACCTGGACTCAGCACACCTCCCGTACCTTGATGGTGCCTTCGGCCAGACCCAGCTCTGTCAGCGTCAGTGCCCGGTGCCCTATTCCCTTACCTTGATGGTGCCCTCAGCCAGACCCAGCTCTGTCAGTGCCCGGTGCCCTATTCCCGTACCTTGATGGTGCCTTCGGCCAGACCCAGCTCCGTGGCCAGCTCGTTGCGCTTGGGCCGGCTGACGTAGTTGTCCTTGAGAAACTCGGCCTCGAGCCGTTTGATCTGGTCAGGCCGGAAGGCGGTGCGGTAGCGGCGGATGCCCGGGTCCTGGGCGGCGCTGAGAGCGCCGTCGCCGGCCAGCTTGGCCGCAGGCGGCGGCGAGCACCGCTCCGTCAGCTGCTCCGTGCTGTCGCACGACGTCGGCTTCGCGTCCTCTGGAAGCAGCACCACCGCCAGTCAGCCGGACGACGGCGGCTGGCGCGGGGCTCGCGCGAGCACAGGTGGCGAGCGAAATGACAGCGTCTGCAGTCCTCAGAGGGCAGGTGGGAACACAAAGGAAGCGTCCAACTGCAATAAGTGCCCATTAGACTAGGACGAGTGTTCGTGTTACTGGCCTGTGTACCGCCTGGTAACTCGACCTGAGGTCGAACATTAAATGGCCGTATACGAGGCTGCTAAAGCAAACCAGCCATAAACTGTAACGGGAGAGGAGCTGCAGTACAGCTGATTACCGGCTATCACATCCCCTACCGAACAACACCGAACACACGGTGCCAAACCGCGCCCGCCTGGCTGCTAGAGTCGCCTGGTAAGCCGCCTCGCCTGAGAAAAGTGCATGGACAGTGGAGCTGCTGGGACCGCTGCGTCATACATCTTGGACAGATCCATGGATTTAGGGTTAATCTGTGGATTAGAGTAGAATGAATCCCAAAATCCTCAAACTTCATGGATTAGTTTGGGAAGGATGAATAAGGTAGAGGGGCCAAAAGGGTTGGAACATATTGAGCAACTCCATGTTAGGTTATGATATGTTAAATGTGCCCATCGACGTTAAATGTGCGGAGAGATGATACATTGTGTTGTAAATTGTGCCGAGAAGCGATCAATTGATGGATATCATCTTGAAAACGTCTTCGTTTTGATGGACGCGACAAGGCCGGATTAGGAGCACATGCAAAACTGATTCGCAGGCGGTATAGATTTAAGGTCGATTCAGGTAGTTAGATTTAACACTGATAGTGGATTGAACTATACTGGATGCTGGAGGTCCTTTGCATCAATTTCATGCAGGCGAACGTATGGTCTTAGTTTCAGAAGCACTGTAAGTGCCTCCAATCGTATTGTTTCTAAATGCCTCTAAGCTCTAAACCGTACATCCCACGCAATTTGCAACCTTCGGAAATTGTGAGAATGATGAACACTTTTTCTGATTACTGGTCACTTCTTGTCGTTTGTGATATATCCCATCAACTCAAACCCCATCGTTCTGGTGGCAATGAATCGACGCTCAGTTGGGAGACAGCTTGGCTTCCATGCGGGAGACCCGGGTTCGATTCCGGCTAGCGCCCGACATGAGAGCGCTCATTTGACCTCTGTTGTCGCAGACGCTCCACAGAGAGCAGCACAGCAGCACGTGCTGCGCCGCCTCTACAGAAAAAAAGACAGAGACGAAGGTCGAGTTTTCTGGCGAATACGAATGAATGTGGCAAATGGATTAATACATCGATTTATCGTAATAGCTATAGGTAGGCAGCTTTAATTGATTGGATTAAATAATACCTAACACCGCAGCGCGATATATCTTAGCATTAAAGAAGCTTTGTCTCCAAGATGGGACCAGCAGGTTTCTGAGCGAAGCTTCACCTTGGGGACAGTGGGTTCCTGGGCGGAACTTTCCATGCACCTCTGAGAGAGGGGGAGGGCTTCGCTAACCCCGCTCCCTGATGTTTCTGGGCCTCGGCAGGGCGTCTATGGACGTTTGTGTGGAATCTACCTTAAATCCTGATATGCTCACGATTATTTGTAAAAACGTTCCAGTTCTGGATGGACTGGTGTCCAACAACCCGTAGATAATTGAGACTGGACGAAGTTTCTAAAAAGACCAGTAAGCTGAGCTCATACGTTAGGACTGATAAACGTGATTGCTCTAACTGAGGGTAATGTTAGTAATTCCGTAATTGCGTCACATCGAAAAGTTTCCGATGAATCCATTCCGACTAATTATCACCTAGCTAACACTGTTCACCCAAAATACCGAGCTAATAACTAACAATTTGGAGACAGATAATAAATTTCCAAAGCCGAACAAGTTTTTGATCGAATTGAGCTATTCGCATTTGTGATCGATACTGAATCTGTAATAGTCTTGCATACGCTGCGCTTATATCATACGCACAACCATAGGCATATATCGTTGAAAATAAATCAATATTCAATTCATAGAAGACACGTTTTGCATATTGACAACTCTTGCCGCCATTCCCGCACCCTGCTCTGCACCATTTGGCATGTTAGCCTTGGTCCTGTATCGCATAGCATAAGGCAGATACCGACGACAGGATGTGGCCTATCAAAAGTTGTTATGGAAATAATGGTTGCATCAAGATAAACTACCTCTAATCACTGAACTGCTTGCTTGACGCATTACAGACCGGGTGGCTGTCCGAAGGAAGCACAAATGTACTATCGGGGGAAAATCGCTTTCATTGCATCGTCATCCGGCCACTCTGCGCGGTTACCGCCTCGCGAGGGCTTCTCTATTGACACCGCGTCTTCGTACCTCGCTCAAACATGCCCCATGCCGGCACGATTAGCCCCCAGCGGCAAAACACGATAACGACGTGAAACGAACCCAGGCACTGTCACCAGCGTAACAGGCGTCCTGAGCCCCGACTGCCGCCGCGACAGACTACGGAGCGGCGGCGCGGCGGCTCCACTCGCCTGTCCTGTCGCTGGGTTTGGGCGGCGATCCGCTGCTGTCGGCGTTGACCCGGGGCGGCAGCCGCTCGCCGGGCCGCGCCACCTCGGCCGCCGTCGCCGAGTCGGGCCGCTCCTCGGCCGGGGCGCGCTCGCGCAGGTCGCTGTACGCCTTGAGCAGCTGCAGCGGGTAGGCCGTGTCGGCCGGCAGGAACGGCCGGAACGGCGCCGGCTCGGGCGCGCCCGGCTGCTGCGCCATGGCCCGTCGACACTTCCGGGCCGGCCCGCTCGACCGCACGCCGCGACCGCCGCCGATTGAAGATGGCCCGCCGTCGCGCCGCCAGCGCCCGCCCTCCGGTTAGTATCCAATTACCGCGCGGCCGCCCATTGGCCGGGCCCGGCCGACGCCGCGCCGCCATTGGCCGCCGCCGCCGCCAAGGAGTTATTTGCTGAGGTTGTGCTGATTGAGTAATTGGCTGCCATTAAGCACAGAAATCATCCGCACTTAGGATAAATGGTACACAACGCTGGAGACGGCTGCGCGATGGAGATTAAGCGCACTTAATGAGATGCAGCCGGCCTGGGGGGCTGTTAGAAACTCCAGCTGCCGAGCGCGCGACGTGGAGCGCAGTGACGACATACAGACGCTGAGGGCGGGCCATCACAATACTCACCGAGCATGCAGGCGTGGAACGAGCCCTGCTTGCAGCGATGGCCGCTCTCGATTCCGATGCATTGCAGACACGCATGACTGCACCTAGGTCTCCAGCCAGGCTCGGCGCCGGCCAAACGGAGTTCATCAATACGACGACACGCATTATTTACGCGCGATTTTAATGCACTCTAGTGGGTCAGGAATATTTTCGTGCCTTAGCATATCTTTTGGTTATATGCTTTAGTTATATGCTTTTATTTATGCTTAATTACATGGCAGAAATAGTTAAAATCCCGTAAGTTTCTCCACTACTGCGTACATTTGAGCACCTGTGCAGGATGTACAAAGATGTAGTCCATGAACAGAACGCTGGCGATAGATCTTTTGAAGGGATGGGCGGGGAACGCTGTGTCTACGTCAGTTCTCTCGCGTAATGTCATCGGGCTCAGGTTTTTTGCATAGATGGAAGGGGGATAAATTCGACTTTCGTCTCGGCCGTTTCCATGCTGAGAGATGTATTTGGAGCCTCGGCTTTGCAGGTACTAAAATGTTATACTGACCTCAAATCCCATTTTTCCGACGGGGTTAATGTAACAATTTCCAAGAGATGTGGACAGGGGCATCAAACTTTGGGAATGATTGAGGAGCGAGTGATCAACGGCCTTACCTCCCCCAAAATGTGTTTTTCTCAACGGAGTTTGCCCGTTCTGTTTTAAAGAAAGACAATTTTTGCGTTAAATTTTCATTATTTAACAGAAAGTCCCTAATTTGAGCAGCATAGTAGTCATGACCAGCCAGGACTTTTTAACATGCTAATTGCATGAGAAAAAATTCCCGCACCGGACCGAATTCCCCGGCACCCTACACTGACCAGATGCCTCCCCCCCCCCCCCCCCCACACACACATGCGCACGCTCTCGCTGCCGTCATTTTACATTGCCCTTTACATTGCCCTTTACAGCCCTGGCCTAGCCGCATGATTTGCTACAGTTTCTTGTCGTTTTTTTTTATCGGAGCGTAAAAATAAGGTGGCCTTAATCAAAGGAGAAGGCGGAGAGGTGGGCTCGGTGAATTTATATTCGGGATTCATCGAAATGTCCTCCTTCCCAAAAGTCCTTAAAACGACCTTGTGGCCAGTGGAGGACTCTCAGAGTTGATAGACGTTGCGTGGGAGTTGACATTTTCCTGAGCTTCTGTAACATTTCGGTTCAAACGATCTAATGGAGTGCCCAAGCCAACACTGGGTTGCCCAACCCAACGTTGGGGGGTCAAGGCTCTCACAGAAGAAAACGAATAAATGGCACCTCTAGATGTTGGGAGTGGGGGAAGTTGTTCTCTCTACTTTTGTCCTCTTCCGCTACCCCTGACTGCATGCAAAGATACAGCACTGTATCCTACATACATATGTAATTTTGGCTGCATGCTCACAAACAGAAGTGTCTGAGGAACGCTCAGTAGGCAGCTCCCTCCTCCGAAAAAGGAATATGCATTAGCCCTCATTATACGTTGTGTAACATAGCCAAAATAAACAAAGCTCCTTCTATAGCTCATACTTGTTAGATGTTCGTTGGTCATTACCTGGAGCTTTGCTGTCCATTAGTGCATATTCTTAAGGTTGCAGCATCCTGCACTGATCAAGACACATAAAAGAGGTAACACAGGCAGTGAGCAAAACCAGCGAAAAATACCACAGCTCAGAGGCCAAGGCGTGCAACCTTTCTGTACCAAAAATTCCAATTAAGTGGATCTTCGATTTCCTTCCCATACTCGTTGTGCCAAGAAAGTATCATGCTAAGATGTCATTCACAAGACAGAGTTCGCATACGACATGAATCATGGTCTGACGTGATACACCGCGGTAGTAACACTACGCTGAAATGTGATGGTTGAATACCCCAAAACTGCTGCCTGGTGAAAGAGGTAAGCAATTACCGTTCTCCCTCATTTCATGTCCCAGTCAGGGTGAGAAATCGCTGCGAGGATCGGCGTCCTCTTTCACTTCCACACGCCCGCGCGCCGGCCGCCGGTGGCCGTGTTCACCGCCTCTGGCCGACCACCCCAAGGTCGCCGAGTACCGGACGGAGGGCTGGGCATTGAGGCGGTGGTCAGCGGGGTCAGGGTCATCTGACCTTGACCCTGCCAAATGCCGGAGGGCACGGCGCTGAGTGCGCGGACACGTCGGCCGAAACAGGTCCGTTTACGGCGGTAGGCGACCTGGCTGAACCCGCCCCCGTTCCACGACAGTATGGGACAGGGAACAGCACTGGTTCGGCTCGGTTACGAATAAAGCGTGAGTGTGCTCAGGTATTCAAGGGGTTTCGTCACATAGCGAACAGTGAAGGTCGTAATCTGATTCCACAACTCAACTATTTCGACATTATCAGATCACCAGGAATATTTTAGGCTCTATCTGGATTTGACGCGTCCAATATGTGGGGATATGGTAGACGAACGGGTCTGGTTTTCCTGTCTGTCCCTTAGCTAGGCCCCAATGCCTAAATTTCTTTTTCCCTGCTAGCTCGGCGCAGCTCTGAAAGCTCCTCAGTCGTCGCCATATACAGGTCGGAAAGATCGGCGACGCAATTGATCACCTCATACTTCTCCCTTCCATGATGGTCTCTCAGAAGTTAAATCGCTCCATCCAAGCGACGGCACTCGCCATAGCCGGGCGAGCGAGTTATGAACCCAGTCGCTTTCAGCCGCTAATCTCATAAAATTATTGCCAAATTATTCGTCCAATTTAGCGATCCCATCTGCGCTGGCAGCATGTTCATTTATTTTATCGCGGGGCGGACATAAATAGTTGAGCGTGCCGCTTTTTGCCGGGCGCCGCCGTCGGTAGAGATCTGACAAACGGCCGACAATGGGAGGATCGTCGGCAGAGTCGGCTCCGACGCGGGCAGCGGGGAGGGGGGAGGGGAGGGGGCATTCGTCCGAGCCGCGCTATCGAGTCGACGAGGAGGACTCCCCCACCTACGGTCTCAAGATTAGATGTGGGTTCAAGCTTACATACAGGAAACGAAGGCCTCCAAATTGCTGTTTTCATTTATTGCTGCTGGATTGTAATATCAAAAGAATCAATGGGCACTCAGAGGGCCGCCTTTATTGTGCCTTAGGACTGTTTGAGAGGATTGGGAGGAAAAGCCTAGAAGTATCAAATCATATTTATTCGGGGCATGGGCGAGCATCTGACAGTATCGGTGGAACTTTTCAGCTCGAGGCAGAATTTCAACAGTGATCAATTCTTCATCTTCAAAACCCAAGTAGAACATTTCATTAACGCTATCTTCCTCTCTCCGCCGAACGAATGACCCAACTCCAAAGATTCGAGATTATCAGAGACTGACGTGGGTACGTGCACGTATCAACAACGATGTTTATGAACACCATATATTTACAATACAATAAGACTACTACTAATAGATGTGATGCATAGTGATGCGACACTATCGCACAGCATAGCGTGAGACTGACTTTCTCTGGACCGTTATTTTACGCGCTGCACGAGATACCACGCGTAGCCCTGCTTAATGAACATGACCTTCAATGGCTCACTAATCTTAATTCGTCTTTAAAGAGTGCTTTGGTGTTCAACCTAGAGACCTTTTTCTTTGCAGACACACTACGCACACCGTAGACTGAAAATTGCACACACTCCACTTTCGGCAATCCTTGCAGAACAGTCTTGGCTACAAGCTTGTTGTCAGGAACGCCATCGTCGCTCGCATACATGCGGTGGGCGTACCTCTCGGGCCGAATGGTCAGGGACTACTCTCGTGATGCAGAGCAACGCCACGCCCTTGAGGAACGCCACCGGGCCGACGGGTCTGTTTAAAGGCACACTGTGCCTGTGAACCCAGTGCTTCGGACACGCTCGCGAGGAGCGTCACTGGACCGGCGGGTCTGTTTAAAGGCAGACCATGCCTGTGAACCCAGTGTCTCGGGCACTAGTTGGCGCCGCGCTAATCCCGCGGCATGGCAACCCCCCCCCCCCCCCGGCTGTTGCCATCATCCGGGATAGGTTTCGGTCCAGGAAAAGCCTCCCGAAGTCAGGCTTGAACCGGGGGCTTCACCCTTACACTGGCACGCGCGTTAACCCACGGCGCCGCCGAGATGGCCACTAATCCAGACTCTTCCGGATCTATGTCCGAATCCTTTGAGATTTGCATGGATCTATATTCAGATCGTCAGACCACCCGCGGAGTGCACATGCTTTCAGCTGATGCACGTTTGACCGCTCCAAAGCCCCTTGGCTTAATTGATTTCTTCTCGTCAGAAAAGCACGGATCCCTTAAAAAGAAAATGTTATGCCGAGCAGAAAAAACCGGCAGGCGAATGCTAGTTCGCGGTCTCTTTTCTACCATCACCGGATGCCATCGATTTACAACTACTTCACTGGTCCTAACGGGTTCGACTGCCGTCACTAACGGGTCTGTGCTGGACATGCCCGGCCGCGTGCAGCCACACCCGACTGGCGGCTGGCTCGGTTCACACGCCCCTCCCCCTCGCCTCCCGGTGGGTGGCAACCGAGAATCTGTCCCGTCGCAGCGTGCATCGCACCTCCCCGTTACGCTG